CGGCTTTACTTTCTGGCTTAGGCAACTTTGTTCATTTGTTTGGGCTTTTTTTTTCTTATACAGGGTCTCATGGAGTTGATGATTATCTTGAACTCTTTAAGATTTCTCTCTCTCTCTCTCTCTCTCTCCCTCCCTCCCTCCTCCCCCCGTGTGTGTATGTGTATGTCTGTGTACATGGGTGCAAATACCCACGGAGGCCAGAAGGCATTGGATTTCCCTGGAGCTGGAATGGTGGTGGTAAACTCCGTGAGAGGGGTGCTGGGAACCAAACTCAGGTCCTCTGGAAGAGTAGCAAGTGCTCTTAATCATTCTTAACCACTCCTAACCACTGAACCTTCTCTCTCACCATAATCAACTTTTTAGAAAAACTCTGAATAGTATGTGGACATGTGACAATATGATGTGAAGAGTGACATGTGGGGGCTTCATCTCAAAATTCTGAATCACAATAAGCTAAACTTCTCTGGAAACAGTTTGGAGAGGAGCAGAAAGGAACCACAGAGACTACAAATATTTAAATATCAAATAAGCTAAAATAAAGACACTTATATGTTCGGATACACAAACACTAAGCTTCAACACTTTACCGGGAACAGAAATAAAAAGAAACACTAAAGGGACATTTTAAAACAGGAAAACACCATGACTGAAATGAGGACACTGACAAATGAATTTAATTCCAAATTAGACACAAGTGCCCACACATACGCATGCGCATGCACACACACACACACACACACACACACACACACACGTAAAACTTTAAATTATTGACAGAAGAAACTACTTTGAGAAGCATGAGAGACAAAAATACAGAAAACCAGGAAAAAATAAAGAGCATAGAGAAATGGTAAAGAGAGATGTCTAAGAATCTTATAAAATGGATGTGCAAAACCAACCCACAGCTCCAAAAAACCTAAACAGAATAAACAAAACAAACCATCAGAATTGGAAGAGTAAGTAAATTCATTGAAATAGACACAATAAGTAAGTCCATCAAAATATAACCCTAAGTGGGCTGGAGAGATGGCCCAGAGGCTAGGAGCACTGGCTGCTCTTCCAGAAGACCTGGGTTCAGTTCCCAGCACACATGTGGTGGCTAACACGCATCCCTAACACCAGTTCCAGGGGATCTGACGGTCTCTCTGGCCTCTGCAGGCACCAGGCATGTATATGGCACACTCACATACATGCACACAAAACAATACACACAAAATAATTTAAAAAATAAATTAAAAAAACAACACCAACAAAAAGACCTATAAGAGACAAAAGATAAAAGGAAACAAAATTGTAAACAAAGTTAAAGTTCCCTTCAAAGGGAACAAGGAATACCATAAGCCAAAAGTATATTAAAACCTTAGAGCTAAAGGAAGACAAGTTAAAAGGCTTTTAGAACATCAGATATTCTAGTCTAACATTTGACGAGGGAAAACAAATCAAACCTAGAAACGTTTTTTTATTTCTCTCTCACATTACCAAAGAAAGCAGTGCATGAAGAAACTTGGAGCAAGGTGGAGATGGTCATTACCTTGAGTGTGAGAAGCTTTTGTAACCTTATAGTCGCATGTGCATCTTATCTTACTGTGTACTAATGATATCTATTAAGCTGTCTTAAAAAGCAAGCATGAGCCACAGTAAGGAAGTTCCTAGAGAGAATTTAGAGGGCTGGGGACATAGCTCAGTGGTACAGCTTAGCATGAGGCCCTGGGCTCATCTCCAAGTACCACAAAAATTATAATCCTAAAAATCCATGTCAAGAATCCATCCCAGGTTCTAGATTGATCACTGCTGGGAACAGAGGGTCTTTTTATGTTGCAGGAGAGCACGGCAGCAGGTGTAAATAGCTAACAAAGAAAATGAGCTTGATTTAAACAAGTTAAACCTGAAAATCAAGTTAAAAATGAGAATTGTTTGGCTTCTAAGACTGTAAACATTGCTTATAAATACAAATACTGAGGGCTGCATTTGAAGCTGGAGATGAAATCGGCATTCTGGAGCCCAGATTGTATGTGTTGTACAAAAAAAAAGTCTGAGTGTTTCTCCAGTTCGTGCTGATGAACAGAAGGCAGCGGAATATGTGGAACACGCGTCATTAGAAGAATGGCTCCTAGAAGAGAAGAGAGCTCTTGGGTGGCTGTGGTGGGTCAAAATAATGAAAAGTGTTCCAGGATGAGAACGTTTCCAGGGCAGACGACACTAAGACCAGACTTTAAAAAGCTATGAAGCTACCCAACAACTGCCTGGTCATGTCAAGATATTTCACAAGAATTTTATTCAACATCCTACTGCAGGAATAAGGCTGGACTCAATAACGACCTGCTGAAGGGATGGGACCAGGGAGAAGACAGCAGTGTAAGGAGGAGTAAGCCTCCCATGGACGTTCAGAAGAGAGGGCCTTTAGTACCCACATATCTGATTATCCCAGCCCAATGAGAAACATTTACTGATGGATCTGGGGGTGCGATTCAGTGGTAGAATGCTATGTACACATGAGAGACCCTGAATTCAAGGCCCAGTACTAAAAACAAAAAGAGGAAATATTTACTGTGGAATTGATTTTATAAAATTGGTAGTGGTCCAAAGATTTCCCTATATTAACATCAGCTATTCTCTGTCCACTTAGTAAGTTGATGCTGATTTTGTCAATATTAACCAATGCAAGGCTAATGTGACCAATTAAAAATCATAATTCTAACAAAGAATACTATTAGATTTTTTGAATGTCCCAAGAGTCTTTTAAACCACAGCCAAAGTCACTTCAGATTTGAAAATCTGGCAATTAGGACTTTGACCAAAAAAAACAAAAAGAGAAAATAATACAACCATGATGCTTCTAAGCATAATGTGAATATCAGAAAGCTAAAGCAGACTCCTGGAAACCTAGCTACGGTGGCCCTCAGGAGGCTGAACAAGTGGACTGCCGAAAGTTCAAGGCCATCCTGTGCTATATAGTGAGTTCCAGGCCAGCCTGGGCTACCATGTAATACCCTGTCTCAACAAACAAACAACTCTTGGAAAATTGATAAAGACTTCAATAATCTGTGTGGGCAGGGGGCTGACTTTACAATCAAGCTATTAAATCAAGCAAAGGAATTTTTACCACACTGTCATATTTTATCAGAAAAACAATGCCAAAGCAAAGCCCATATAACTCACTGTTCTAAGAATTAGTATATATATTGTATATATTTTTTTTTCCATTTTTTCCAGGTAAGTCTCGGTTAAAATTTTTCTTTTAATTTATAATAAAAATTTGGTACGTGTTTTGCACATTAAATGGTCATTTTCACCCTCAGCTAACTGACTCCCTATGGCACTTGCTGAACTACCTGCCCAACATTGCTAGTTCATCATCACAAGGAGGTTTATGGTAAGGGCATCTATCAAAATACATCTAGCCAGAAAAAACAGGCTATATTTTATAGAATAAACCTATTGGGAAGGAGCACCTAAATGCAAAAACTAAGCAACTACACAGTACACACCCATTACAGCAGCCACAGGTGTGCTGTCCACACTACACACACCACAGCAGCCATGGGTGTGCTGAACACACTATACATTATAGGCAGCCACAAATCTGCTGTCAGCACTATACACAATAGGCACTACACAGTATAGTAAGTTCTTTTTTCTAGAAACAATAATAGTCTAAAAAAGTATGCCCAATAACTTGCATCTCACAGGTTCTTAAAAGTGGAGAATGTTACTTGTGAAACCAGACTCTGACACCAATTAAATGGTGACAGCTTTGCCAATAAACAGGAAGATGCTCTCTCGTGGCTAGGAAGGGAGACTGCCACAACGAACGGGTCCTAAAACACACAAAGATATAGTACATATCTTAAAACAACCAAGGGTGCCAAAGATTAAAAAAAAAGGATAAAGGTATAGTATCCAGATTCTAGGCCTGAGCAAAGGATCTAGGGAAGTGTTTAAGTCGTCAGAAAGCAGCAGAACAAAGAAAAGACACAGAACAGCACAGGCACAAGAGTGGTTAAATGTAAGAAAAGAAGAAAGCCATCTTCTAGGGCCACTTGAAACTGCTGCTAGGCCATGGGAACAAGAACTTCCCTTTCTGGCAAAAATGAAGGCTTCAAGCAAGGCCCCTAGCAGAAGCACACCTTTCTGAGCCCTTACCTGTACCAAGGCGCTGAATTTGAAACCAGTTTTCACATAGATTAACTTGCTTTATTCCCATCACAATCCTTTAGTAATGTTATTTATTCTACTTTGTAGATGAAATAAAGCTCAGATTTAGAACCCTGCTTTAAACAGCATGATAACCTGAAATGCTGCTTTGAATTTTTTAAAATTATCCTCAAAAGCTATCTTTTAAAATAAAATCCACTATTCTTGTCATAATTTATGCACACTTTCTAGCTATTGTAAAGAAAGCTTTAACTGAAAACTGCACCATTCTGCTGGCAGCTGGAAATCACAGGCCTCCAGAGACACCAAGCAGAAATAATGATTGCACTCAAGTTCAGCAAAAGGGCAAGATTTCTTGTCCCTACAACTTTTAACTAAAAGCCTACATTGACTTTGCAGGATGTTGGGAGGATGCGTTTTCCTATTTTCTGGGGAGGGGGACAGGTTTCTCTAGGAGTGAGAAACAGGAAACACACCCCCAGCTTTTACGGATCCTAGCTCCCCAGGAGAGCACCAGCTTAGCAATTAGTTGGCCTGGTGCAGGCACATTTGGCTCAGCCCTTTTTCAGAAATGCCAGTTTGTACGATCTAAGACTCTACTGTCTACTGCAGCAGCCTCTGTTTCTAAAGAGAGCCTCTACTGGTTCACCTGCGCTGATAACATAGACAGTGTGCTTCTCAGATGCTGAGGCAAAGTGTTAAATGTCCACTTGGCTGCGGACATACTGCTAGATTCTTCTCATTTTTCAATCGTTTACAAACAGGATAAGCCACACAGGAAAAAAACAAAAACAAAAAACAAAAAATGTGCTCGTTATTTTTGAAATTTCTCTCTTCTCTTCTCTTCTCTTCTCTTCTCTTCTCTTCTCTCTTCTCTTCTCTTCTCTTCTCTTCTCTTCTCTTCTCTTCTCTTTTCTCTCTCTCTCTCTCTCTCTCTCTTCCCCAAGACTAGCACTGGATTCAGCTCTCTCTCTCTCTCTCTCTCTCTCTCTCTCTCTCTCTCTCTGTCTTTTTGAGAAATGGTCTCCCTATAGCCACAGCTGGCATAGATTCGCTATGTAGACCAGGCTGGCCTCGATCTCAGAGATCCGCCTGTCTCTGCCTCCCGAGTGCTGGGATTAAAGGTGAATGCCGCCATGCCTGGAAAGCTTATACTAAGACTCCATACATGTAGTTGATATACAGGTCAGGGTGGGGGAAAGGGAGGGAGAGAAGAGGAGGAGGAGGAAAAGGAAGACAAAGAGGAGGGAGAGGAGAGGGGAGGGGGGAGAAAAGGGGGGGCGGAAGAGGAGGAGGAGGGACTAGGAGAAAGGGGAAAAGGGAGAGACCTAGCAAATAATATTTGGAAAAACATTGGAAAGACATTGGATATTGAAGCAACCTCTAGTTAGATCAGATGATCTCATATCTTAAGAACTAGTCTAGATTTAAATTGTTTTATTTCTGTTTAAAAGTCTGTCTGCAAGCTGCATGAACCACTTTAAACAGTGGTTCTGCATCTTTAACAGCTCAAGCAAAGTACAACTACAGAAACGAATCACTGAATAAACATGAGAAGTTCCTCATCTGTAGGACACAATCCTCTACTAAGAGGTTTTGAGGGGCTGGAGCGATGGCTCAGCCAACAAGACCACTGGCTGCTCTTGTAGAGGACCTGGGTTTGGTTCCCAGCACCCACATGGGGGGCTAAAACTGTCCTTAACTCCAGTTCCAGGGGACCTGACACCCTCTTCTGGCCTCTGCAGGCACTGCATGACACGGGTGCAGTTACATATATGCAGGCAAAACATTTGTACACAAATAAAAATAAATAAATACATAAATAAATACATATATATATATATATATATATTTTAGAAAGTGGTTCTGAGAGGACTGAATCAAGTCTCGTAGGTGCTAAGGTTCATCCAGGTACCTGCAGTTCAGTTTTCTTTTTCCTGCTTCCTGCAGCTAACATCTTTTACCACCAGAGGGCAATGCTGTTATTAGTAGGCCAAAAGTTGGTCAAACTGCACCAGAGAAAAATCTGGATTTCATTTAACTACTAAATATACATATATATGGTGTTTTCCTAGAACCTGTAAGAAATGAAAATGCTAAGAACCCTTTTCTTTTAATTAGAAAATGGATAATCCTATGAAAAAGACATTGCACAAGGTAAGATATGCTGAAAGCTGATCAAAATGTTTGAACATTTACCTCTGACCCCAAACTGAGAGAAACGATCTCATCCTCAAACGCTGAATGTGTATCGATATGAGCAGGAATTCCTGAGATGGAAAATACAACATGTCACTTCATTCTGCCTCTGGTGGATCTGAGATGACGGTGCATGTAGTGGATCTGAGATGACGGTGCATGTAGTGGATCTGAGATGACGGTGCATGTAGTGGATCTGAGATGACTGCATGTAGTGGATCTGCAATGACGGTGCATGTAGTGGATCTGCAATGACGGTCCATGTAGTAGATCAGAGATGATGGTATATGTAGTACATCTGAGATGACTGTGCATGTAGTAGATGAAAGATGATGATACATGTACTAGATCTGAGATGATGGTGCATCTAGTGGATCTGAGATGACTGCATGTAGTGGATCAGAGATGATGGTACATGTAGTAGATCTGAGATGTGGTACATGAGCCTCGTGGAATTATGGTGACTAGACAAGATTAAACTAAATCTAAGCTAAAAAGATTTTTTTCTTAAGATTTTTAAAGACTTCTTTATTTTCATTTTATATATATGAGTGTTTTCTCTACCTGTACCATACATGTGCCTCGTGCATGCAGAGGCCAGAAAAGGGTGTCGGATTCCCCGAAGCCAAGTTAGAGACACCAGGGAAAGAACCCAGGTCTTCTGCAAGGTCCTCTTAACTGCTGAGCCATCCCTCTAGCCCCCATAAACTAAGTATATCATCACTTCAAGTTAAAGTGATATTGAGACCTGACTATAAAATCAAGGAGTCACTCTTAGATAAGATAATCATCTGTACAGCAGAGGTCATGTGTAAATAATTAAGATGTGGTGTCCTCCACCCATCACTTTGGTAAATGAGCAACTTTTGTTAAAGAACTTTTGCAACACAGAAAGAGGACACAAAGCAAGGAAGATAGAGTCCCTCCTCAAGTAGTTTATAGACCAACGGAAAGACAGATAGGTAAGTAAGCAGTTAAAGCACTTAGGATGTGGGGCACAGCACCACATGCTTACAATCCCATCACTGGGGAAGCTAGGGCAAGAGGACCTCAAGTTTGAGACCAGCTTGGCTACACACGAGGACCCTGCCTCAGGCTGGGAATGGGGCTGGTGAGAGAGCTCATGTCTAACACGCACTGCCTCAGGACCACAGGAAAACAATGGAAACCCAAATCCTAAAAATCATTTAATTACTAAAATATTAGGTGGAAATGCTGCTTATAATAATGCAGGAAATCTATACCTAAGATTTTTCACTGATACATAAGCTGTGAATTATCTTGCATATTCTAAAATAGAAGGGAAAACCCATCCAACAAGTTAGTCTTCTTCTCTCTGTCAATTATTTAGTTCGTACACTTCCATCACCTGCTCTTGTCCCCTCCCCACTGTCACATCCCTTTCTAACTAAAAATGTTGAAAAAGGAATAGAAAAACAAAGACCACAAATAGCAATTATGTCAGGTTGTTTACATTTGGTGGGGAAAATTACTCAAGGGATTGAGGTTTGCAAGTGATTAAGATCAATACAGATACTGAATCTAAGCAAAGTAAGAATTAGTCTGAATAAGAAAAACAAAAACTAAACTTTGTTTCCTTAATTCTTCTTTTCTTAAAAAGCTACACAATCTTCTTTATTCTGGAATATAAGGAATTTAAGAAGAAACACACCTACCATGCCCAGGTTCATACTGATTTACGGTCAACTGATCAGGTTTATGTTGAATGTAACCTGCTTTCAACCATTTCTCCAAAATGCTATTGCAAAAGTCAGGAAGACCTAAAGTCAGCAACCATAAAAGCAGAATACATTAGAATATGTGCATGTTTTACCCAAGAATAAAAAAAAATACTATGATAGTTATCACACAACTTTTAGTATAGTAGTCAGTCATTAAAAATAGCAAAACCGCAAGCAAAACAAAATTAAAGACAAGCTTTGTAAGAATCTTAGAATCTTTCAAAGTTATACCATTGCTTCTAGCAAATAGAGTCCAAAAGTGTAATTTTACTAGTAACAGCTTTCATATTTTGTAAAATGATAAAACTTGTTATACATTGAATTGCCTTATCCAAAACATGTTTCATGTATACCCGGCACCACAGGCTGAGGGTAACTTTGTGTCATCTCTTTAGTGTGCTTATGTTCTGACTGACCCCTAAGCTTGGATGTGGACATTTCCTACTTGTAACATAATATCATTTCTCAACACCTTCAGCTATGAGGCCAGTTTGCATTTTGGATTATCAGATGCTCAACCTGTAGATTTTTTTTGTTTTTCTTATTTTTTTGGTCTTTTTGAGACAGGGTCTCCCTGCAGCTCCAGCTGGCCTGGAACTCACTATGTAGACCAGGCTAGCTTCAATCTCACAGAGATCTGCTGGGATTAAAGGCATGTATCACCATGCCTGGCCCTTCAACCTGCAGATTTTATGAGAAATTAATTTGAGTATGATTTTGTGATTTTAAAGTATTCCACTTATTTAAATTAAAGTATTATTATTAAAAAAATAAAAAACAACTTTTGCCAGGAGTTAATGGTATATGCCTTTAATCCTAGCATTTGGGAGACAGAGACAGGCAGATTTCTGAGTTTGAGGCCAGCCTGGTCTACATAGCAAGTTCCAGGCTGGTCAAAGCTACATAAAGCTGGTGCGGTACACCTTTAATTCCAGCACTTGGGAGGCAGAAGCAGGTGAATCTCTCAGTTCAAGGCCAGACTGGTCTACATAGTGAATTCCAAGCTAGCTGGGGCTACAAGGAGACCCTGTCTCAAAAAGACCAAAAATGAATGAATGAATGAATGAATAAATAAACACATAAAAACATAAACAAAAATTAAAAATAAAGGGCTGGAGAGATGGCTCTGTGGTTAACAGAGCATTGGCTGCACTTGCAGAGGACCCAAGTTCGATTCCCAGTATCCATATGGCTGCTAACAACCATCTGTACCTCTAGTTCCAGGGGAATTTGACAACCTCTTCTGACCTCTGTTGGCACTACATAACAATGGGTGCACTTATGTATATGCAGGCAATATAGTCATACACGTAAAATAAAAATAACAAACTATATTAATAAAAATTAAAAAACCCAACGCCTTTCAAAGTGGAACTTTTATGGAATCATAAATGTGATTTCACAATGAATGAAAAGCGTTAAATATGACCAAGATCATAAAAAATAAATTTAGGATTGGGAGATGGTTCACTCAGTAAAGTGCTTGCCTTGCAAGCACAGAAGCTGAGTTAGATCCCACTTTTTAAAAGCTAGGCATGGGGCTGGAGAGATGACTCAGTGGTTAAGAGCACTGGCTTTGCAGAAGATCAGGGTTTGGTTCCCAGCACCCATGTGGTGGCTAATAATGATCCATAACTCTAGTGCCATGGGATCTGGTGACCTCTTCTGGCCTCTGTGGGCATTGCATGCATAGGTGCACTTACATACATGCAAGCAAAATACTCATACACATAAAAGAAAAATAAGTTAATAAAAAAAAAAAAAAAAACTGGGCAAGGTAGCATGCACTTGTAATAAGAGCACTGTAGAGGTGGAAACAGGCAGATTTCTGGGGTTCACTATCCAACCAGCCTGGTCTACTTGGTGAGTTCCAGGTCTGTACGAGACCCTGTCTCAAAAAAAGGTAGTCAGCGCCTGAGGAACAATACTCAAGGCCATCTTCTGCTATCCACAAGCACCTATCCACACATGAACACACAGATACATGAACACACACACACAAATAAATGAATAAATAAAATTTAATCCGATATAGATCATTGTTGAGACTATATTGTAAATTAATTAATTTAGATAACCCATTTTTAAAACTAGTAAAGGATATAAAAAGGAAATTAAAGGAAATACAAGTGGTCAGCCTCATTACTAATGAGGAAATTACAAACTGAAAGGTTGCAGACCATGGTGAGGGGAGAAGAGGAAAGCCTGCACACTGCTGAGATGTTCTGGTGCAGCTGTTGGAGGCAACCTGACATAGCAATTCTACTTCTTTGAAATCTCTCTTAAGAAACTCTTACAGAGCACATGAAGAGGCATCTACAAAGATTCAGTACTATTGGTAAGTGCTCAAGACAAGAGATAACTTAAATGTGTAACAACGGGTTACTTACCTGACACTCTACAATGAAAAGCTACCCAAGATCTCTAAGGCATACTGCGAGGAAAAAGACCATGTAGAGCATGTTGGAATAATACATGTAATATATGGCATGCAATTTATATCATATAATATAAGGCTACATGTATTAAACTATGTACTTTAATAGACATATTAAAATATCTGCCAAGGGAAGAAGGAAGGAAGGACAGTAACCTGTATGTTTGAATGCTTATAGCTCAACTGTGCCATTTATTTAATTAAAATGCTTTAAATTAAATCAGTCATATCAAGGGCTTACCTACAGATGGGATACACCTCACCAATGATAAGCTTCTAAGATAGCCCATCTTCCTAAGCCAGGACTGACTGTGCAATCCTAAGTACTCACCCCCAGGTAAAGGCTTCTCTTTATCCACATTGTTGCTCTCATAGTGGAATTCGTAGCCAAAATGCTTTACTCTTCTATGTTTTAAAGACTTTTGAACTGTGAAGAAAATAAATGCTTGAGAGAAAAAGAACAGCAACTCTGTATTTTATGCAACATCAAAAGGATTAGTTTAGTAATAGAAAGTTCTGTTAAACACTAAATTACTGTTTTAAATAGCATTAACCATTTTGCTTATATTGTTTGGGTTATTTTGTGTTTAAAACACTTAAAGAGCTTCACCCAGCAATGTGAAAAAGAGAAACATATGCACGGCCACTCACAAGACTGTCAGTGACCTGGGAACACAGCAGCCTCAGAGCAGGGGCTGGCACGGCACCGAGTGGGCAGAGAAACCTTCAGGACAGAGAAGAGCACGCATGCTTACAAAATGCAAATGCTGTCTAGTAAATACATGTCAGACTGGGGTTCAAAAGTGGCAGCTGTATAAATGTTATCTATTACTCATGTTGAAGAATCTTAGTATGACTTGCCACTCTGTCAGCCTGAAGAAATGTGACCATTTTAGTAATCTAACGGGGTGGGGGGAAGGAAGAGCTTAAGAGCACATCTTACAAAAACCTAAACATTACATCATGGAGAGCTGACTTACAGTTCTGACTGTCTGTGTCTTCTGTCCAATTAATACTTTCCAAAAGCATTTTCTCATCCTCAGAAGAAATAATATCTTCCACTATCATGACACCTGGAGGTAAGGCCTGAAGCCCCACGTTTTCCCACTGTGCTGGAAGAAACCAAAGTCAAACACTCACATACAAAACCTAAACTATATACCATAATTCTTCCCCATGGCCACTTATCAGTTCATAAAACTCAATCGTCATTTTCAGAAGAATGCCAAAGGCCCACAGGAAAATGGAAAACAAAGACCAAGATGAGAAGTGCGCTGCACTTCACTCTCTCTAACTCTTCAGCAAGCACAACTGTACTTGCGCGTTCTGTTGCACATGACTGAGTCACCTTTTAAACCTCACTGAAAGAAAAGGTTTCTCATAATATTCGGCGTGGTGGTGCTCGCCTCTAATCCCAGCATTCAGGAGGCAGAGGCAGGCAGATCTCTGTGAGAATGAAGCCAGCTTGGTCTACATAGTGAGCTCTAAGCCAGCCAGGGCTACAGAGACCATGCCTCAAGAAAAAAAAAAAAAAAAAAAAAAAAAAAAAAAAAAAAAAGAAAAAAAAGGAAAAAAAAAAAAAAAGTCAAAGTAGTCAAAGTAGTCCCTGAGTCCCTGAATATTGACTATAAGAATTTTTTTTTTTTTGGTCTTTTTGAGACAGGGTCTCCCTGTAGCCCCAGCTGGCTTGGCACTCACTATGTAGACCAGGCTAGCCTTGCACTCAGAGATCTGCCTGCTCAGTCCCTCCTCTTTTTTTTAAGGCAAGGTCTTAACTAAATAAGTAGGCTGGCCTCAAACTTTCTATACTCCTGCCTTAGCTTCACAAATTCTGGAATAGAGGACCACATCCAGCTCTAAATACATCTTTATAAAACTCAGGAAAGTTTTCCTTTGAAAGTTTTCTTATTACTCTGATGAAAATAGATGTAAAATCTTTAGACAAAATACTGCTGTCTTCTGGCACTTGTGCACATACATATACACAAGCAACACACTCATACGCATGATATAAAATAAATAAAACTTTTATATATTAAATATATACCATATATGTGTTTATGATCATCTTTCACTCAGTCAACCCTAGGAGATCTAAACAGTGCTCTTTTATTTCCTAAATAAGTGGTAAATAAATATGAGATCAGTTGTGTAAATCAAAATGCATACTTCATCACCATGAGGTGGAGGTAAAAAGATGTAATAATCCTTGCAGCAACTCTGCACATCAATCTATACACTATTACTTTAATAATTTAAAATATTAGCCGGGTATGGTGGCTCACACCTTTAAACCCAGCACTCAGGATGTAGAGGCAGGTGGATCTCTGTGAGTTCAAGGCCAGCCTGGTCTACAGTGAATTCCAGGCCAGCTGGGGCTACAGGGAGACCCTGTCTCAAAAAGACCAAAAAAAAAAAAAAGAAAGAAAATAGTTTAAAATATATTTTACTTATTTGTGTGTGTGTGTGTGTGTGTGTGTGTGTGTAATGGTGTGAGCGCAGGTGCGTGTGTAGGTCAGAGGACAACTTTCGAGAGATTGTTTTCTCCACCTACAATGGGATCCAGAGATCAAACTCAGGTCTTCAAGCTTTTATAGCAAGTGCTTTTTCCCACAAAGCCATCTTATCAGGCCTGTTTTAGTTTCTTAGTCCTCAGACACACTGATACTTACTGTATTAGAAAACACAGACATGCACATTTCCACCACCAGATAGCACTAATATAGGCTGTAGGGATCTCTCACAGATGAGGCACCCCTCCATGAGTATGAAAATTAGAAGGTAATCAATCCTTTAGATTTACAGCTAATTCTTTTTTATTAATTATTTTTATTTTATGTGTATGAGTGTATTGCCTGCATGTATGTGAGGGCACCTGTGTTGTGCAATGCTGCAGAGGTCAGAAGAGGGCTTTGGATTCCCCTAGAACTGGAGTTAAGAACAGTTCGTAGCCACCATGTGGGTTCTGGGAATCAAACCCGGGTCCTCTGCAAGAGCAATCAGTGCTCTTAACCACTGAGCCATCTCTCCAACCCCTATAGCTAATTCTTAAAGGATTAATTCAAAGCTTCTGGATACAAACTGTAAAATAAATTGATTTGAATCCTCAAAAATAAACTCTGAAGCCAGGCATGGTGGCGCATGCCTTTTATCCCAACACTCGGGAGGCAGAGGCAGGCGGACCTCTGTGAGTTTGAGGCCAGCCTAGTCTACATAGTGAGTTCCAGGCCAGCTGGGGCTATAGGGAGACCCTGTCTCAAAAAGACCAAAAAAAAAGAAGTCTCTGAGTTAAATAACAGGCATAATAAACACAATGTTAGTTACCAATCCCTCATGAGTGTAGGCAGGATCTATACCTGTCTATACCTATCACTGGGTACTATTAACTACGATTCCACGTCTGGCACTAACAGGTGAGTAAGCAGTACTGGAAGGGGTTGGGGGGATGGCTTAGGGAGCAAAGTCCTTGCTGCACATGCATGAGGACCTGAGTTCAGATCCCCAGCATCCATGTAAAAAGCCAAGCACAGTGGTACATGCCTGTAATCCCAGCACTGGATGGTAGAGAGAAGCCTATTGGGGATGGGGGTAGGGGGCCAGTGGCCAACTGGCCAGTGGGTCTACCTTTAAATGGAAAGCTCCAGGTTCGGTAAAAGGCTCTGTCTCAAAAAATAGGGTGAAGAGCAATAGAGGAAGACAACCAATGTCAACCTGTGGCCTCCACATGCGCAACACGCGCGCGCACACACACACATACACACACACATACACACACACAAACGCACGCATGCACGAAGAATAATTCATAAAGACAGTCTGCTTAACTGATATTCTCTGTTTCATAATAACTGAACATCACCCTATCAAGTCTATAAAAAGAAAACTCACACACAAAAAAGCAGGAGCCATTACTTAGAACACAACTGTATGATACCTTTTTCCACAAAATTCAAGTACAAGACGATCTTCTGCCCCGCATCATCCGCTATTTCTTTTCCATTGAGGGCAGCATAGGCTTTCCTGGATTCCTCAATGGTGCCGTATCTCACAAAGGCATAGGGCTTGTTGGGTGGCATTAAGAGCGCCTCCACAGATCCACACTCCTCCAGAGCCAGCAGCAGCTGCTTCCTGCTCACGCCATTACCCAGACCACCATTGGCAACAACCAGGCTCTTCAAAAAGAGCAAAAAGTAAGTAACGAGTGATCGCTACGACCTGTTTATTTAAAAATAAGATTAAACAGGCTGGCCTTGAACTCACAGAGATCCGCCTGCCTCTGCCTCCCCAGTGCTGGGATTAAAGGCATGCGCCACCACGCCCAGCCTTAAATAACATAATTTTTAAAAATATAATTAATGAAATAAGGTTTCCTTCTGTTGGTTATTTGGTTTGCTAGCTTCATAGGTTTGCCAGCTTCATACAAAATTTATAAGCCAGTTTATTAAACATTTGGTAAATAAAAGCATTCCTGTGAAGATTTATTTTTAAGTAGTCTGCATCCGTAAATTGTTCTTTTCTTAATAACCGTAAGTGTAAATTAAAAAATACCCCTTCATGTTGTTCAGAAATAGACATTTAACACAACAAAAAGAAAAGAAGGGTGGGAAAAATAAACAGTCACATACATTTTTTTGGCCACACAATGAATGTTCCACATTCTTTTACCTATTTAGTCCCAATTAGCATAATCTTTAAAACAAAGTAAATTTATTTGGGCAATATTTACTGAGGAAGAAACTGAAGCTCAGTTAGGAGTGACTGGGGAGCTGGTTTTAAACACTATTTCTGTTACTTTTCTGGAATCCATACTTTAAAAGATGACCATTCTGCAGTGTTTACTAAAAAGTCAGTTCAAGGGATCAACTCAAAGGAAAATCAATTATAAGCTCCATTGGGGGCTAGAGAGATGGCTGAGTGGTTAAGAGCACTGGCTGTCCTTACAGAGGACCCAGGTTCAGTTTACAGCACCCACAAGGTTATTAACATCTGTCTATAACTCCAGTTCCAGGGGGTTCAACATTCTCTTCAGACCTCCACAGGCACCAGGCAAACGTGGTGTACTTATATACATGTACTCATACACATAAAAATAAATTAGTTTTAAAAATCATAAGCTCTAGGGCTGGAGAGATGGCTCACCGGTACTGACTGTTCTTGCAGAGGACCTAGATTCGATTCCCAATACTCAAATGGCAGCTAAAAACTAACTATCTGTAACTCCAGTTCCAGGAGAATATGATGTCTTCTTGTGACCTCTGTGGGCACTGCATGACATGGGTGTGCTTACATACATGCAGGCAATATACTCATACACATAAAAAAAATAATAAAATATTTTTTAAAAATTGTAAGCGCCATTGGATCGAAAACATGAAGTTTCTTCTTAAGATTTTATTTCTTTTTTCTAATTTTATGGGTGTCTTTTGCCTGCACATATGTATGTGCACCATGTGCATGGAGGCCAGCAGAGGGTGTTGGAATCCTTAGAACTGGAGTTATCGACAGCGGTGGGCAGACATATAGGTAGAACCGAAGTTGGGTGCTCTGTAAAAGCACCAAGTGAGCCATCTCCGAGCCATCTGTAGCCCCCATGAAAAGTTTCTTGCTCAAGGAAAATAATTCAGTCAAAGTAATTCAGTCAGATTGCAAGTAACTTTTTTTTCCTTTGTAAATTTCATAGTTACTTCTTTTGCGGTTTAGGGCAGAAGAGGGAATCTTCTATTGCTACTCTGATTTTTTTTATGATCTAGGGCCCTTACAGTCATTGTACTTAAAACCCATCCTACAAAGTGTTAAGGTAGTTAATGTATGACCTAATATTTCTAGATTTTATTTACTATTATTTATTTGTGTGTGTGTGTGTGTGTGTGTGTGTGTGTATGTGTGTGGTGTGCACATGCTACAGCATGAGAGTAGAAATCAGAGGACAACTTTCAGAAGTTGGTTTTCTCCTTCCACCATGGGTTTTCGAGGTTGAACTCAGGTCATCAGGCATGTACAGCAGCACTCTTACCTGCTGAGCCATCTCATAGGCCTACCCTATTACATCTGAAAACATAAAGTAAACCCTGGATGGGATGGTGGACTCGCATCAATTTAATAATTTCAACCAGGTATTGACCACATTCTGAAAAAAGCCAATCAACATTTAAAGGCTCCACAGGCCTTAGTTTATGTAACATAGTCTCAGTTTTACTTATTTAACATATTCTTAAAATGTTAAGTCCAGTCTTGCTCACAAAACTTATCTGAGTACAACAGTTTATTGACCCCCTGATTCATAGTAAGCTTAAGATTAGTAGATTAGTATGTCTTATTATGCAAAATGAGGATATCTAGAACCTTCCTTGAAAGGAATAAAATAGCATTGTCATTAAACTAGATAATAAGAAAGAGAAAACTCTCTTCTGTCGAGGGCCAGCCAATACTTTACATGTACTCAAGTACAGATACACGTAACAAAGTCACTATTACAATACCACACTGAGTGGCATAAAATGTATTCTCAGACTGCTTATGGTAGGACCTCAATTCAATGAGGTTTCTTAATTAAAACACCAAAATAATTTGGTTATATGTGAACACTGTTAACAAAATCATTTCAATATCCTAATCTATTCCTAAATCTAAGTCTGAGACACAAAGGAAGCAAGATGTCTTTTTCAATTCTCATACACTTAACACAATAGAAAATACCAGCAACTAATTCTGTAGCAGATTCTCCAGTGGACCCAGTTGCATATCCTCTAATACAGTTCAGTCTGACACTAGCTACCCAGTGAGAGCCTCAGATCCTACAGGCTGAGAGCTCGGTCCCACAAGCCAGTCTACCATTTTGGATGCCAATGTAAGCAGTGGGCTGTCATTCACACTTGTGACAGAATAGCTATAAATCAGGTCCCAAGATTCCCTCCTCTGGATCTATGAATTTGCCAGAGCAGCTTCCAGAACCCAGGCTAACACTTTCCTCATGCCCACTCATTCACTAGAAAGGCTTTTCAAAAGCTAGAGATGAATAGCCAGATGGAAGAGAAACACAGGGCAAGGCTCAACTATCCAGATGCTCTGAACTCTGTGTTTTCATGGAAGCTTTACTATGCAGGCACGATTGAATATATCACTAGCCACTGGTCATTGCTATGGTTTAAATGTGAAATGTCCCCACAGTCTCATGTGTTTGGACATCTGGTCCCCAGCTGATGGTACTGTTTTGGAAGGCTATGGAACCTTTGGGGATATAGGGCCTTACTAGCTGATGTTGGCCACTAGGGGGCAGGGCCTGTAGGTTGTACACATGTACACACACACACACACACACACACACACACACACAGCTTCTATCCTAGCTCTCTGCTGGCCACCTGCCACTACAAGATGATCAGCCACTCTCCACACCTACCACCAAGGGCAGGAGCCAGTCCCACTACTGTGCTTTCTCCGTCAGGATGAACTATTCTCTAGATTGTGAGCCAAAGTAACTCCTCCCTCCTCTAACTTGCTTCTGGCAGGTACTCTGTCACAGTGATGAGAAGTAACTAAGACAGTCATCAACTCAGCCTCCCTTCCAAGGAGAAAGTATGGCTAACAGTCCCAACTCTTGCATGGTCTCCAGGTGAGTCAGGGCTACATAGTAAGACCCTGTCTAAAAAAAGTCCAACTCTCCAATCACGCCTGGGTGTTGCCAGGGACCAGAAGCCAGTTAGAAGTCACTGGACACCTCATTACTAAATAAAGACAACTACTTTCACTCCTGAGAGTCCAAGGGTTTTAGGTAGGTAATACTATGCCTTGCTTATAAATAAATAAAGCCATGATCAAAAGTAGTGCTTAATCTTCTAAGTGGGGAAGTGAGGAGTTAACTGAGTTCTAATTCAAGGCCTAGGAAACCTCACAGCAGCTCATACCATCTCCTCTAATTACTGCCATCAGATGGTGAAAAGGCTTTGTAAATAAGATCTAATAAATGAAAAATGTTTTATACTAAATAATCAAATACTTTGTAAACAGCAAAGTTAAGAATACAAGAAAGATTACATTAGGATCCAGAAGATCTATCTGTAAGTTTCTGTTCAACCATATTCCTTACATTAAGGACATACACCCTCCCCAGACATTAGTTTTCTCATCTACCTCATATGGATTTTTAGAGAATTACATAGGGTAATAGACACTAAATTTGCTTTGTCAACTGAAAAGATTTGTGCAATGTGATTATTAATATATCCTGCAACATGCTCTAGCTTAACCAATACTAACAAAAGAAATTCAAGCTACACACTAGCTATGAAACAAAATGGAAAGTTGTTAGATCCTATCATATGCTTATTTAATATGGATGAAGCACATTACTGAGCAATTACAGCTTTGAACTATGAGTTTACCATGTTAATATACCACATTACCATGTTGATACATCTACATTCAAATGACAGCAATAGCTATCCGGTCACCTGTGTGACATAGGACACCGCCTCGATGCCTTCATGCTTCAGCAACACATGCCTGGCTTTACTCTGTTTCCGTAAGAACTTCTTCTCAGTTTTGCTGAGTTTCAAATCACTTTTATGATTGATATTCATGACGATACTATAAAGAAAAGTATGAGAGGTCAATCTTAAAAGTCCTGAAGGAACAATTATAAAGTTACTCATACATTCTATAGTTCATAAAAATTTCTGTGATTTTTTAAATCTTTAGTTTACCTTTAAAAAACCTAGAAAAGGGAGAATAAAAAAAACAAATACTTAAGAATGTAACGAAGAAGTAAAAATAGCTAATAATGTGTCTGAGGGTTCTAAGTTATGTTGCCATGTCTTAGTTCCATTATAGACAGTATCCATAAGCATTATTTAGGAAATCCTGCATAAAACATCCACAGACAACATTCCCAACCAAGGCAAGGCAAGCAGGAGAAGGGAGGAGACAAAGCAAAACATTCACACAACAACATGTAATATGTTCTGTGTAAAATAAAGTTCAAAATCCAAAAGCAAACCAAATACTGTTTATCAATACATAACACAGATAAAAGAAAATGAGGCAACAGTCAGGATAAAAATTGGGAAAGACTCTTTTAATGGGGGAGGAGCAAAAACAAGAGCCACACAGAGGAGCACCGAACATTTCTTAACCTAGGCAGTAGGGATAAGTGGCTTTATTTTTCATCGTGACTTTTGTTATTTTAAAAACTAATCTTGAGATGGCGCTGCCTGCTCACACAGAGGACCCATGTTTGACTCCCTGCACCTACATAATAGCTAACAACCATCTGTAACTCCAGTACCAGGGGATCCAATACCCTCTTCTGATCGCCATGTGCACTTACATGTATGCAGGTAATGCATCATACACATGAAAAATTTAAAGCCGGGAGTGGTGGCGCACACCTGTAGTCCCAGCACTTGGGAGGCAGAGGCAGGCGGATCTTTATGAGTTCAAGGCCAGCCTGGTCTACATAGTGAGTTCCAGGACAGCTGGGGCTACAGGGAGACCCTGTCTCAAAAAGACAAAAAAACAACAACAAAAAAAAACTAATCATAACATGTTTTCCACATTTATATTTTTTAAATACAAAAATAAGAATCCTATAAAATTGTTTTCACTCTACTGAAATTGATCAGCTATCGAGTAGTCACTATCTGGAGCAGCCTTTATGATCATTCCAAGTCAACATCTTACACCATATTTATCACAGTAACCTATTTCCTTTTGTTCACAGAATTTTAACACAGTGTATGATTCATCTGTGAGCTTAACTGCTTCTCCACGGTGTACACTCCAGCACAGCAGGAATGCCAGCATATAGGAGGCACCCAGGAAACATGTATGGAAGGAATCAATGACTGCCAAATGAATAAACACACCCAGTATGGTCTCAGCACCCTGAAACACACAACTACAATACACAGCATGTGTTGTTCACAAGTTTATGAGTTACTTGAGGAAAAGAAACAGTAAACAAGGAAAGACTGACACACCTTCACATAATGAACTGCTAATGGTGTAACTATTACTTGTGGCATGAACTAGAGACCAAAAAGGAGGGTTAACGTCAACTGGAAAAGTTGGAAGATTCCAAACTGGAAGGGAACTCATGCTCAGGATCAGAACACAGTAAAACCATGTGAAAAGGAAGGTATTCAGTAAGGTGATAAAGAGGAGGAGGTCAAAATAGTGGAATGTAAGCATAATTTGGATTTTGTGGGAGTGTTGGTTTGGGTTTGTTTTTACTGTTTTGTTTTGTGTTAAGGGGATTTTTTTTTTTTTTTTTTTTTTTTTAAAGACAGGGTCCTGTGTATCCCAGGCTGGCCTCCAACTTGATACATGGCTGAAGATGACTTCTAATCCTCCTGTCCAACACCTTCCAAGTGCTAGGATCAACATGTATAGCCCCACACCCAGTTTATGCTTATTTTTCATTTATCAAGACAGTTTCACACTATGTAACCCTGGCTGGGCCTCGAATTCACAGCAATTGTCCTGCCTCGGCCTCCTACATGCTGAGATTACCACAACCACCTGGCATAATTTTTCAGAGCAGTGACTGCTTATTGACCCTCCAGTCCCATGCTGTACATTTCTTTTCTTTTAATTTTATTTTATGTGTATGCATGTATTGCCTGTGTGTAGGTAAGTGCACCTGTGTCATGCAATGCCCGCGGAGGTCAGAAGAGGCTGTTGGATCCCCTGGAACTGGAGTTATGGACAGTTGTTAGCTGCCATGTGGGTG